AGTATTATGGAAAAACTATGCATGAATTTCAATTTTTTTTGCACCAAAATAAATGTGTACTAACGTGTTACAACATGTTTAGACAGGATCTAGTCTGAGGCAGCAAGACGGAAAAGATGTCAGTTTGAAAAGAACTCCTATCAGAGCAACGTGAATTCTGCTAAAATTGAAGCTTGGGAGGCTGATGGGGGCAGGTTGGGAGGCGGAGGTGGGCGTATCACGAGGTCAGGAGTTCAAGAACAGCCTGACCAACACGGTGAAACCCCGTTTCTACTAAAAATACAAAAATTAGCTGGGCATGGTAGTTCATGCCTGTAATCCTAGCTACTAGGAGGCTGAGGCAGGAGAACTGCTTGAACCCAGGGGGCGGAGACTGCAGTGAGCTGAGATCATGCCACTGCACTCCAGCCTGGGCAATAGAGCAAGACTCTGTCTAAAAAAAAAAAAAAAAAAAAAAAAAAAAAAAAAAAAAAAAAAAAAAAGAAAAAAAAAAACTGAAGTAAGAACAAACTGCAAATTTATGGTGATGCTTGGGTGAAGAATGGTGAAATCACTGATGCCTTATGAAAAGTTTATGTGGACAATGCCCCAAAGAAACAGCAGTTTCCAAATGAATGACTTGTTTTAAGAAGAAAAGAGATGATGTTGAAGATGAAGTCCACAGCGGCAGACCATCCACCTCAATGTAGAAGGAAAAAAAATCACCTTGTTTGTGCCCTAACTCCAGAGGGCTGATGACGAACGGCAGAAACGTCAGCACCACAGACGTCTCAGTCAGTTCGGCTTACACAGTTCTGGCTGAAAAATTAAAGCTGAGTAAACTCTCCACTCGATGGGTGCCAAAACCTCGGAGCTCAGCTCCGCTTCACACAAGAGTAGGGATTTCAATGGAAAGTTTCAACAAGTGGGAAGAAGGTCCTGAAGCAGTTCTTTGAAGAATTGTAAAAGGAAACAAAACACGGCTTTCCCAGTACAATGCTGAAGAAAACGGACAGTCAGAGCAACGGCTACCCAGAGGTGGAAGGCGTCCAGTCACAGCAGAAGCAGACCAGTCAACAGCCAAAGTCGTGGTCACAAGGTGTTGGGACACTCAAGGCATTTTGCGTGTTGACTTTCTGGAAGGCCAAACAATACCAACTGCTTATTATCAAAGTGTTTTTGAGAAAGTTAACCAAAGTTTTAGCAGAAAAATGCCTGAGGGGGCCTCACCAGAGCGCCCTTTGTTACCAAAAGGAGGCTGCTGTTCATTCCTCTCTTCAGAGAAGGGCAAGCTGGGGAGAATTTCAGTAGGAAATCATTAGGCATCCACCTTACAGCTCTGATTTGGCTCCTTCTGATTTATTTTTACTTCCTAGTCTTTAAAAAAGTCTTTAAAGGGCATCATTTTTTTTCAGCTAATAATGTGAACAAGGACTGAGCTGACATGGTTACATTCCCCAGTCCCTCAGTTCTTTAGGGATCAACTAAGTGGTTGCTATCAGCTCCTACAAGTCTCTTGAACTTGATGGGGCTGATGCTGAGAAATAAAATTCATATTTAATTTTTACCTTTTAATTCCATTTTCCCATGAACTTTTTGAAGTCTCCTCATATATTAAATGAGGTGTCTTTAAACAGACACACACATAAAACAGGTTATGTACTGACATATATAAGACAAGGTTATAAAAATGTGTTATCAGAGGCTCGAAGGGAACTAACCCTGTATTTTCCCTAGAAGCAATTCATTTATCCAGCATACATGGTAACTTTCAATCTCGTAAAGATTCCAGAGGATGAGGCTATTTTTAAATTTCATGAACAACTATTATGCATCAAATAACATCACGAGTTTACACATCAAATAACACCATGTTAAACTCTTGCACAAGTATTATGTTTCTGTAGTCTAGGCACACTTAAAAACTGTATTAAGCCTGACGACAGAGTAGTATTTATAAGGTCACTACTTTTAGAAATCTTGGCCCAACCAGTATCACTGTTTCAGTAAATGGCAGCCATTCCAAGGCCACACAACTTTCCTGTCAAATCAGCAACTCTTGCCAAGTAAACTGAATGGACTTTGTAGGATTTCGTAGCCAAATGCTGAAAACTACAAGAGCTGTTTCCTGCGGAAGGCCGCCTTTTACTGCCCACAAAGCCTATTGACCCTTCACACCCCGTGGCTGTGAAATGGACACAGCCTCTACTCCAGAACCTCAGCAATGCCTGGCTAAAATCCAGACTAGAGGCAGAGGTTCTGGAACCTAGGTGGAAATGCAGGAAGGCTGCCTGTGTCAAGGGTCTTCCACTTGCCCTTGATTTTAAAAAACATCTTTGCATTTGGCTGGGTGCAGTGGCTCATACCTGTAATCCCAGCACTTTAGGAGGCCAAGGTGGGCGAATCATCTGAGGTCAGGAGTTCGAGACCAACCTGGCCAACATGGTGAAACCCTGTCTCTACTAAAAATACATAAATTAGCCAGGAGTAATGGTGGGCGCCTATAATCCCAGCTGCTCCAGAGGCTGAGGCAGGATAATCACTTGAAATGGGGAGGCAGAGGTTGCAGTGAGCCAAGATTGCACCACTGTACTCCAGCCTGGACAACACAGTGAGACTCTCTTGCCAAAAAAAAAAAAAAAAACAATTTACATTCTCAAAATACTTAGCAAAGCTGCTGCTGAAGTTGAACCTAGTCTCCTATACTCAACCTCTGTTGCTTTACATTTAGCAATGAAGTAACAAGCCAGAAGTTAAAAGTAGAGAAACATTTTCTGGTCCCTAGAGAATCTGGAGACAAATTCTAGTCTGTTTCCACCTCTGGTTCTTGGACAAAAGAAAGGCTGAATCATTGTGAGAGATTTTAGGACTATTTAATTCAAATCTGACTCCATATTTCCTCTAAATTCTGGGTGAATCTGTTTGTTATAAATACACCCTGCTTTCACCCATACCTTCCACTGGCTGCCCTTAAGGCGGACTATTTTTTAAGTCAAATTCTTTTTTTTTTTTTTTGAGACGGAGTTTCGCTTTTGTTACCCAGGCTGGAGTGCAATGGCGCGATCTCGGCTCACCGCAACCTCCGCCTCCCGGGTTCAGGCAATTCTCCTGCCCCAGCCTCCTGAGTCGCTGGGATTACAGGCACGCGCCACCATGCCCAGCTAATTTTTTGTAGTTTTAGTAGAGACGGGGTTTCACCATGTTGACCAGGATGGTCTCGATCTCTTGACCTCGTGATCCACCCGCCTCGGCCTCCCACAGTGCTGGGATTACAGGCTTGAGCCACCGCACCCGGCCAAGTCAAATTCTTATTGAATTCAGTGTCATTTTTTCTTCTAAGTTCAGTGAGAAGTCATACAAGTGTGACAGCAAGCACTGCTTAGCTGGGAACTCTCTGATCCACTTTGAAAGGCTCTAGGCAGATAAACATCCTAGAATATTAAAGAAGACTGCCAAGATGGAGAAGTTTCTAAGCATGAACTGTGTATATTTATAGAAAATTGACAAATCTTCATAAGCTATTTTCTTCGAAGGTCCCATTTTCCTATGAAAGCAAGAATTTGAAATTTATTACTAGAACTACTTGTTCTATTGAGTAGAAAATTCTAAGGCTTCCAAATACAATGAAGAAGAACATCAAGCAGAGTTCTGTCAGTAATGGCAGTTATTAGGGAATGATGTTTTCATCCATTAATACAATTCCTGTTGAACATGAATATGAATATACAACTGAAGGAGATGGCTATTTGTGAAAGCATTCTGAGTCCTGGGATAATTTTTTTTTTTTTTTTTTTTTTTTTGAGAATGAAGTCTCGATCTGTCACCGAAGCTGGTGTGCAGTGACGTGATCTCAGCCTGCTGCATCCTCTGCCTCCTGGGTTCAAACGATTCTCCTGCCTCAGCCTCCTGAGTAGCTGTGACTACAGGCATGCGCCCCCATACCCAGCTAGTTTTTGTATTTTTAATAGAGACGGGGTTTCACCATGTTGGCCAGGCTGGTCTCTAACTTCTGACCTTGTGATCTGCCCACCTTGGCCTCCCAAAGTGCTGGGATTACAGGCGGGAGCCACTGCACCTAGTCATTTTCTTTTTCTTTTTTGTTTTTTGAGATGGAGTCTTGCTCTGTCACCCAGGCTGGAGTGCAGTGGCACCATCTCTGCTCACTGTAACCTCCACCTCCCGGGTTCAAGCAATTCTCTTGTCTCGGCCTCCCAAGTAGCTTAGACTACAGGTGCACGCCACCATGCCCTGCTAATTTTTTGTATTTTTAGTAGAGACGGGGTTTCTCCATGTTGGCCAGGCTGCTCTTGAACTCCTGACCTCAAGTGACCTGCCCGCTTTGGCCTCCCAAAGTGCTAAGATTATAGTGTAAGCCACCATGCCTGGCCAGTCTTTGCTCTTAAGGCCTTCAACTTATGGGATTAGGCCTATCCACATTATAGAGGGTGATCTGCTTTACTCAAAGTCCACTGATTGAAACATTAACCACAGCAGTATCCAGCCTAGTGTTTGACCCAACGAGTGGGTACCATGCTTCAGCCATGTTTTCACATAAAATTTGTCATCACAGGCCGGGCACGGATGTAATCCCACCACCTTGGGAGGCTGAGGCAGGCGGATCACGAGGTCAGGAGTTCGAGATCAGACTGGCCAATATGGTGAAACCCCGCCTCTACTAAAAATACAAAAATTAGCCAGGCATGGTGGCACATGCCTGTAATCCTAGCTACTCAGGAGACTGAGGCAGGAGAATTGCTTGAATCCAGGAGGTGAAGGTTGCAGTGAGCTGAGATCAAGCCACTGCACTCCAGCCTGGGCAACAGTGTGAGACTCTGTCTCAAAAAAAAAAAAAAAAAAAAAAAAAAAAAAAAAAAAAAAAAAAAAAAAAAAAAAAAAAAAAAAAAAAAAAAAAAAAAAAAAAAAAAAAAAAAAAAAAAATTGCCATCACAGCTCCTTCGAGCAGGACCCCAGCCTGTCATATTCACTGCTAATTCCTATTACCTACAATGGTAGAAGATGCTCAATCTCTGTGTGGTCACAGATGAGTGAATTTCTTTCCTGGGAATTGCTTATGTCCTTTGACTCTCCTAGTTAAGCAGCTTACACTTTCCTTCCGGATTTGTAAAGAGCACTTTAATTAAAATAAGAAGTAACGCTTTGTCAGTTAAATGTTTTTCCAACATATTTCTTGTTTCCCTTTATTTTAAAATTGTTTTTAGCTATGGAGAAATGATTTCTTTCATTTTTGTGAAATCAAGGTTATCATTATTGTTTATGGCTTCTGAGTTTATGTCATGCTTAGACAGGTTTATTGCAACTCCATATAATAAACAGTGTTATGACATTTCATACTTTAACATTTTAGAGTTAAATCTTAGGTACATCTAGAATTGATTTTGTATGAGAATGCAAGGTAAACGTCTGTTTTCCTTCAATTACTTGCACTGGAGCCACTGCGGTACACTGAGCGCCACAGAGACAGCGCCGGGCCAAGTGAGAGCTGGACGGGCACTGGGCGACTCTGTGCCTCGCCGAGGAAAAATAACTAAACATGGGCAAAGTAATCTTAAGAAGAGGAGAGGCTAAATGTCATCGTATGCATTTTTTGTGCAAACTTGTCAGGAGGAGCATAAGCGGCAGCACCCAGATGCTTCAGGCAGCTTCTCAGAGTTTTCTAAGAAGTGCTCAGAGAGGGGGAAGACCACGTCTGCTAAAGAGAAGGGCAAATTTGAAGATCTGACAAAGGCGGACAAGGCTTGTTATGGGAGAGAAATGAAAACCTATATTCCTCCTAAAGGGGAGACAAAAAAGAACTTCAAGGATCCCAATGCACCGAGAGGCTTCCTTCGCCCTTTTTCCTGTTCTGCTCTGAGTATCACACCCAAAAATTAAAGAACACCCTGGCCTGTCCATTGGTGATGCTGCAAAGAAACCGGGAGAGATGTGGAGTAACACTGCTGCAGACGACAGGCAGCCTTATGAAAAGAAGCCTTTGAAGCTGAAGGAAAAGCATGAAAAGGGTAGTGCTGCATATGGAGCTAAAGGAAAGCCTGCTGCGGCAAAGCAGGGAGTTGTCAAGGCTGAAAAAGCGAGAAAAAGAAGAGGAGAAAGAAGAGGATGAGGAGGAAGATGAAGATGAAGATGATGAGGATGAATAAGTTGGTTCTAGTGCAGTTTTTTTCTTGACTATAAAGCATTTAACCCCCTGTACACAACTCGCTCCTTTTAAAGAAACAAATGGAAATGTAAGGCTGTGTGAGATTTGTTTTTAAACTGCACAGTGTCCTTTTTTGTATAGTTAACACACTACCGAATGTGTCTTTAGATAGCCCTGTCCTGGTGGTATTCTCAGTAGCCACTAAGCTTGCCTGGTACAGTACGGGGGTTGTAAATTGGCACGGAAATTTAAAGCAGGCTCTTGTTGGTGCACAGCACAAATTAGTTATCTATGGGGATGGTAGTTTTTTCATTTTCAGTTGTTTCTGATGCAGCTCATACGAAATAATTGTTGTTCTGTTAACTACATACAACTTTGTAATTGCAAAAAAAAAAAAAAACAGTTGCAGCTGTTTTAACGTTCTGAATGCTTCTGGGTAAATACAATTTTTTAAAAAATTACTTGCGCTATTTATTAAACCATCTACCTTTCCTACTGGCCTGAAATATTTTCATTAACATATACCAAATTGTGTATATGTGTGTACTCTTGCATAACTGAGGGGGAGCATCTATGTCTGAACTCTTGTCTTCTGATTTGTCTTGCATCAATAGCACAACAGAAGAAGCAGGTGACATTTTATTACCAGATTATTCGATAGGCTAATTTTGCAGCTGAAATCAACTATGGAGAGGCCACACAATGCCTGCTGTGTGAAATCAGACAGGTGCTCTTAACTGAGCCCTGTGTGATAGAGAAAAACAATTCAACCAGTTGGCTTAAATAATTTTACCTTTAACAAAAAGTCATGAGCAAAACAGAAGCTGCCAGGTCTGCACTGTCTTTCTTCGGAATCAAAGATGACATCATTAAACTATGTCAGTCATAAAACCCAATGTGTGCTAGACAGGAAGGGCAGAGGTGGTCCCGCAGCTGCAGAAGAATCAGTATCACTTGCCTTCATTGTTGCTGGCCACCTCAACATTTATACCATGAGGTGTAATTTATGTGTAATAACATGCACATAAATGTAATGCAAGTTACATGTAAATTTACATGTAAATGTTGGTTATTCAAGGCTTTCTCCCCGTCCTCCCCTTCACTTTATTCACAGAGGGGATGCACCACATATATTGTATATTAAAATATAGAAAACTTCAGCCCTGTGGCATATATCCAACCTCTCTTGTCCACAGAGTTTCCCTCCCAATAAACAAGTGCCAGCTCACAGCACCATGGAGGCTGCCTTCCTATCTCCTGCCATCGCATGCACCTGTCCAGTTTCCAGAAAGCCCGCCTACCCGGCCCTTCTTCTGTTTCAAGCATCCCTTTACAGTTAGTCTTCAATAATCTGAGAGAAAGAAAGGGCAAGTTTCCAGATACCCTCTTTGATGTTTCAGAGGATTCATGGTTTAGCCACGCAGGTGTGACTGTTTGCATTATGAAACTATGGTGTTGACTTGTCATCTCTGACTTGACTTTGTGTAACTGTGCCCCCAGCCAACAGACAAAAAGGACTCCCTGTGGCTAAAATGAGACACATGAAAAACAAAACCTAATGGCCATAACAGGGTGAGAGGTTGGTCACGTATCCCTGTGTTAACTAAGTGCCACAGGTTTTCTTTCCTGTAATGAAATAGAAACCAGCTACTAAAGAACACTGTGAAAACAAGTACAGTTAAAAATTTCCCACTGACCCCAGCAGATTGCCTGACACCAGCCCCCGCAAATCCCCACGACCCACACCCCCACCATGCAGTCCTGCAGCAACTCCCAACAGAGGACTGGCCTCACAGCTTTACAGACATTCTTTCCTAATAAACGGTCGCAGACCGTCAGCCAGTTTGAGCCAGCTTAGAGAGACTGACACAAACTGTGTCTGCAGTTCATCTTCTGACATAGAGAGCCAAAGTCTACCTCCTTTAAGACCCATCCTCAAAGTGAACATGAGATGCATGTTATATATACATTTATCTACTACACAGGCACTTGACCTCCCTAAAAAATATTCATAGATTTCCCCCAAATCTACTAAATATGTATGTAAGACAAGTTTTTTTTTCTTTTTTTTTTTTCTTTTTTTTTTTTTTTGAGACAGAGTTTTGCTCTTGTTGCCCAGGCTGGAGTGCAATGGCATGATCTCGGCTCACTGCAACCTCTGCCTCCTGGGTTCCAGAGACTTTCCTGCCTCAGCCTCCCACATAGCTGGGATTACAGGCATGTGCCACCATGCCCAGCTAAAGTCAGGTCTCTTAAGGCACAAATACCAGCTTTGCCCTCCCTTCTACGGGATGTGCTTCTGTTTTACGCTGGAGGTTGTCTCTCCAATCTATAGATAGTTTCTTACAGAAAATAACTCTTTTCCTCTACAAATCTCATGGTCTTTTATTAACGACTTCAATAATAGACACTGAAATATGAAATGACTCAATACGCAGTGCATGTAACAATGGCTGGCACAGGAAGGGCTCCAGAATGTGGCTACTTCTATTTTTGCCAGCCCTTCCGGTCATCAAATCTATGGTCATGTGATACAGGTGCTCCACGCAAAGTGAAGCGATCGGGTCCACATGGAGAAGGAAGAGAAACGACCATGCACAGGGCCCGGGGCCAGTATTCAGGTTACAGGACAGTGTTACTGTCAACACCAAGTCACAAAACAATATGCATATTTGCCAGCACCCATAATCTCTGTACATTACAGCTCTCTGTATGTTAATGTCTTATTTACTTTGTATAAACTTTTCCATCAAAGGATGAACCCAAACCGAAATGAACCATGAAAATGAACTCACCCAGCACAGACTTCATTTCTTCCCACTTAATAATAAGCTGAATATAAAGACATTTTAAGCGGTAAACAGCAGGCTCAGTTCAAGCCAATTCTTAATATCTACTGTTGTGAGAAAACCACTTTATAGATACTTTTACCTGAGATTTCTGTCCAAATGCACTTTTTGTTTGAGATGGAGTATCACTTTGTTGCCCAAGCTGGAGTGCAGTGGCGCGATCCTGGCTCACTAGACCCTCCACCTCCCGGGTTCAAGCAATTCTCCTGCCTCAGCCTCCCAAGTAGCTGAGATTACAGGCATGTGCCACCATGCCCGGCTAATTTTTTTGTATTTTTAGTACAGATGGGGTTTCACTATATTGACCAGGCTGGTCTCAAAACTCCTGACCTCGTGATCTGCCCGCCTCCATCTCCCAAAGTGACGGAGTATAGGCGAGAGCCACCGTACCCGGCATTCAAATGCATTTTAAATGTGGGATGGGGGTGAGAGAGAAATACTTCTTTATGAAGCAGATGGCCAAACACTAAGAGGAGAAACAGGTTACTAAAGGGTATACTTAACCAATTAACATCGATTCAGCTCTGTTTGAAAGAGCAGGGGTGGGCAGGAAGAGAGAATGGAGTAAGTGAGTAAAGCTGGTTGCTTAGGGAAACCTCCTATGGACACAGATAGTCACCCCAAAGCATGAGCATCATCACCCTCCTTTCAGTTAAGCCCAAGTTGTACGAAGCAGGAACGCAATGGATAGAACGCCATCTTCCCGCTTCTAAACATTCTACAGACTGAAAAAAAGGGAACTCCATGTTTTCTCTCTAAGAATCCTGAATCGTCTTCTCAAAAATCTGAAAGAATGGGCTAGGGTGGTGGCTCACGCCTGTAATCCCAGCACTTTGGGAGGCTAAGACAGGCAGATCACCTGAATTCAGGAGTTTGAGACCAGCCTGACCAACACAGTGAAACCCTGTCTCTACTAAAATACAAAAATTAGCCAGACATAGTGGCACCTGTAATCCCAGCTACTTGGGAGTCTGAGGTAGGAGAACTGCTTGAAGCTGAAAAAGACTGCAGTGCACTCCAGCCTGGGCAACAAGAGTGAAAACTCTATCTCAGGAAAAAAAAAATTCTGAAAGAATGTAACAAATTTCAGAGGCATCTGAGGGTAAACTAAGACGTGAGCGTTCTGGAAATTAAAGGAATGCTAGGTCCTTGAAGTACTTGCACCACCTCCTTTGTGGATCTCAGGGTTCAGAAGGCGTTTTCTCCCCAAACATGACAAGAAAAATCTGGTCAAATTAAGGCCCCAAATTTTATGGAGCTGGTTGTAATTCTTTAAATCTTTCTCTTCTGTAAGTACCTTTTTTTCCCCCAGAGGGTAAACAGAAGTTAGTAATAAGACTAGTTTGTATTTATTCATATTTCAATAAATAATTGTTTTTTGGGGATGAAAGCAGAACTATGTTGCTAGGTGCTATTACATAAGATTCAGTCATTCATACTAACCAGATCTCTGCCAACTGATCCACATACGTGTAACCATAAGCCACGTATTCACCCAGTACCCAGGAGAGACTGTAGGCCAAGAAGGAACTAAATAGGTCCTCAAAGGGCAGACTAGAAAATGTAATGACACATGTCACAAGGATATTACCTTTTACTAAACAAATTAGAATGTAAAATACTTTGTAAGCAGAGCCAGCATGAAATGGATATTTCATTCACCTTAATTCCCTGCTGTTTTGTGTCATGCCCATTTTTAGTAGGCAGGGGTAATTTGTTTTCAACTAAGTTTAACACCCAGATCAGAGACCTACAGATATAGGTCACTCATCGGCTGTATTTATGGCTATACTCAAAGTCTACTGATCACTCAAACCAAAACATGCTGTTGTTGGGCTGATGGGCCAAGACATTCCTGAGACCCTGAGAACGTCTCAGGAGTAAAGAACAGGAGGTATATTGGCAAGAAAGCACAATCTATTTTAGCCATAAAGCTCATCAATGGGAAGACGAATTCCTGACACTGCAGCCTGTAGCAGCTTGAACTTCAACGTCCCCTCCTTTCTATTTGTCTCTGGAATTGGGAGAGTGGCTTTGCTTTCGGTCAGTGGTTCTCTGGTTTGCACTGTGGCAAATGGTGCCTCCTGTCCTAGTGTAATGGCTTCCACCCTTTGTCTTGGATGCTTCTGAGCTGTACATATGCCTTTGGTTTAAAGATTTGATCATGTGAGAATGTAATTTAGTTAGAAGTTAGACGCCAATCAAGACCATCCATCAGCCACTTTACATTACA